GTTTTGGCCGTAGGGTGCACCGGCATGGGAGTAGGGGGTGGTGAAGTAGGCTTGAGGGTAGGGGCTGTGCGGGTGGGGGTTAGGGCGTGGCCCGAGAAGGCCTGGGGTAGAATTTGGGTGGGTGAACTCTCCAGAGGGCTGCCCGTGGGTGTGACGTGCATTTGACCCGGAGCTTCGGCCGCGACCACGACCCCGCTGTTGTGCACCACGCTGCCGGTGGTGCTGTGGCTGTCCAGAACTGCCCCCGCCGCTGGAATCTGCATGGCCCCCTCCAGCGCTGCCATAGCGCCAGGGGCCGCCACTGCTGGAGCTGCCACTGCCCGAGTACAGGTCTGTCCCACCGTCCCCTCCGATGCCGCCAACCCCCAAATCTGCTTGTTGTTGTTCAATTAAAAGTAGTGCCGAGCGGGTTTGAAGGAAAGTCGGGGGCGGCGTTTGGTACTGGAGAAAGGACGTTTGGCCCCGAAGATCATCCGGAAGACCACGAAGGACTTGTAGAACCAGTTGTTGTTCGGAGACGGTGGCATCGACATCGTCCAACCAATCGGCTAGATTCCGTAGGGTTTGGCAATAGACGGTCATGGAGAGTGAGCCCTTCGTTGTAGTGCGGAATTGGTGCTCAAGTTGCATAGCTCGGGCCGCCTTGTTGTCGTGGAAGAGATTGTAGATCGTTTGCCATAACTCCGAAGCCGAATTGGTGGTGGAGAGGACAAGATCACAAACTTCGTCATTCACCGTAGATAGGATCCATCCTTGAATGAGGGCGTCGAGTTGAAACCACTCGGAGTCGTCGGCGCTAGACGGAGTAGACTTGCCGGTGAGAAAATCACTTAGAGAGAACCGGCGGATGAGAAGAAGAAAGAGCCGGCTCCACTTTTTGTAGTTGGGCTCGGAGAAGCTGAGAAGGATCAGAACATGGAGCTTCACGTTGGAGATGGTCGTGAAGGCCAAGTGGGGAGTCGGTGACGATGATGGTGCGCCGGTGACGGGTGTTTTCTGGGACATGGTGGCCTTGCTGAGGAGAGGAGGAGACTGCCGAGGGAGAGAGAGGGACGCCGAGGGAGAGGGTGAGCCGCCGTGGGTTGCCGGTGAGAGAGACCGGCGGTCTGAAGCTTTTCGGCCGAAAGAGAGAGGGAGGCGGGCTGCTAGGGTTTTGCAGCGACGCTTAGTTGAGACGAGAGAGAGAATAGCACAAAGGCTCTGATACCATGAAGAATGATTAATTTCTATGATTAATGAAGGAGGGCTAAGCCTCGTATATATATAGTACAAAGGAATCCTAACTACGGAAGGAATCCTATACAAGGCAACTATCATATTAACAATGATTACAACATTAATATTAAATATTTCTATATTTAACAATCACATTGTCATGTTTCTCCATTGCCATGGCTTCCACGCGACCACGCCATATTGATCCTTTCTCTAAATAAGTTAATCAATATCAAACACATCCATCAAATTTACTAAAATAGCCAATTATCAATCTGAATTAACGTGATTTCCTCTACACATGTTATACCAATAAGAATGTAGAAATTCAATCATTTTTTACAAAAAAAATTACCGTCCGTCGAAATGAATAAAGAAGAAAACTGACTCCAATTGCAGTGCACTTCCTGATCACATGAACAAGAAAACAAAATTCAAAAACACATTCTAATCCCCGCATGGTTTTTTGCAGTTCAAATACTTTCAGTTGACGACTGGATCTCACTTCTATGTGCAATCGCGTACACGCGAATCTAACATTCATAGCAGATTCTGAATTTCAGGATGAAATTTTTGCCATTAAAAAAAATCAGAAACAGAGAAAGCGAAATGAACTTGCAGGTTGGGAGACGGTTCTGTAAAGGGATCGATCAGCGGCAGGAGAATCGCCTCTGCCGCGGCTAACGCGGAAGCAGCTGAAGAAACACCCCATCGCCGCAGAGAGTATATTATTTTCTATTTGTATTGTATAATTTATTGGTTTGTAGATTTTAAAATTAATTACATGCTCAATTTAAAATGATTTATTGGTTTGTAGATTTTAAAATTATTTACATGATTAATTTAAAATAACTATTTAATAATGATAATAATAAGTTAACAAATTGAGATAGGGGAGTCGGATGACATTAGTCTCTCTTGTCATCCTATTCCTATGACATGATCCTAGATTGGAGCACTTACGGAGTTACGGTGTTCTGTATAAAAAATTGATGGTTCCTACTCCTCCAAAATTTACGGTGCTCCATTTAAAAAATTGATGTCATCCTTTATATTTGTATTTATTTGTAATTGGTTGACATATATCTATTAATTTAAGGAGATCTTACATTAACAGAGAATCTGTACATATAATATACAATTACAAGGATATAAAATAGCAAAGAAATAAGAGATACTAGTATATGTCAACCAATTACAATTAAATACAAATATATATTTGGTCCGTCCCTGAGTGTTTGTCCACTTTTAACTTTTAGAACTGTTCATCTAAGCACTTTGACTCATCAAATTCTCTCAATGTGTAAGCCAAAAGATAGTCATGTGTGATCTTGTTTGATTCGTCTTAACATATAGATTATTAATATATAATTTTTATAATTTTTTAATATACAAATTACAAGATAAAATGGATTAAAGAATTACATTGGATGGTGTGCAAAAATGAAAGTGGACAAACACTCAGGGACGGAGGGAGTATATTAAATATATTCCCGATCCTATGTAGGTAGTGTATGTTATGTTGCTCAACTTGATAGCTAGCAGAGAAAAAAATCGCAGTAGATTTTTTTTGTTTATGTTAGAATATAAATAACTGTTTCTGGGCCACAACCACAAGCTTGAGCTTTTGGTTGAATTGTTTCCTTGACATGGTATCAGAGCCTCTCTTGACTAAGAGGTCACGAGTTCGAAACTCAGCGTCACCCAATTTAAAATAAACTAAGGTTTCACGTGCAAGGCTCGAAAAAAAATTAAAGTGGACAAATACTCAGAATTTAATGAGCATTTTAAAAAGTGCTATATGCGAAAGGGTTTGAAATTTGTCCATACAAAATTCCGAAAAAGTAATGATGGATATGAGTTTATTTGAGTTTATTGACAAACTGAATTACGTTTTAGAAATATTGTTTTTTACGCGTCTTGTGTTAAAAATTTACCGAATAATTCTTAATTCAACATTGATTATGAAATAAGTTAGATTATAAAATCATTTTAATTTGGCACTGTATATGTGCACATTACTATATTTTTTTGGTAATGTACATGACCATGTTTGGTAATGTAAGTCCTATTTCGAGATTAAAAACATGGAAGTCCTATTTTGGTATATTCTCAATGTTTTAGTCCTACTACTTTGGTCTTTCCCCCTTTGGTTTTTGTTAGAGAAGGACAAGGAATATTAGTATTTGATTTGTATTAGACTTGTATATTGTAGTTTCCTTTTAGCATTCCTAATCCTATTAGGAATCTCTTGATAGCTATATACCCCACATTGTATTGTACATAATCAACAGAGAATACACTAGATTTTCAGCCCAAAAGTACTTCTGCGTAACATAGTATTAGAGTTGCTCTAAAATACCTATTCCTTCGTGTGCTACAGCCGCACGTTACCCATCCAGCATCATACGATCTTGTTTTTTTCCTTTGCACGGTGAACGCACTCCCTCCGGCGAACAGCAAGCATGGCAGGCGAGGCAACCCCAAAGGATCTGAAAGCATCACCGAAGAATCATGTGGACGAGAACAACGACGACGTGATACAAAGACGTCGTCGCATATCACCCTACGATCTCTCACCCAGCGACAATCCGGGTATGCTTCTGACCCAAGTTGTTCTTAAGGGACCAAACTATGACGAATGGTCCAAATCCTTGCGCCTTGCCTTACGGGCTCGCAAGAAATTTGGATTTGTTGATCGATCAATACCACACCCGGATCCAGACTCAGACGACTTGGATGATTGGTGGACCAATCATTCGCTTATAGTGTCATGGATACACAACACGATTGAACCATCGTTGCGATCCACGATCTCTACGGGCGAGTCTGCATCCGATCTATGGGACGAACTGAAGGCGTGTTTTTCGGTTGTGAACGGACCTCGCGTCCAACAACTGAAACGTGAAATATCCGAATGTAAACAAAAGGGACTCAACATGATGGCCTATTATGGCAAGTTGAAGAAATTATGGGACGACTTAGCCGACATCGACAAATTTGTTAGAATAATAGACCAACGCTAGAGGGGGGGGGGGGTGAATAGCGTTTGATCGGAGAAATCGCAGGAATTAAAAAATTAAAATGGAAGTAAAGGGAAGAGAAAAAGGCACACCGAATTTTACCCTGGTTCACCACAACTTGTGGCTAATCCAGCCTCCCGAGAGACTCTCTCGAGCTACACTACTATCTCGTTAAGCTTGCGGGTGCTTAACAAACCGTTACAACTTGAGAGTTCGAGTTACACGAACCTCAATGAATCCTTCAAAGGAAACAATCCTTCCTTTGAATCAACCGAGAGAGGTACTATCTCTCAACGTGTCTAAGAACACAAGTACACTCAAGAACGAAACTCTCTTATAGAGTAGATTATGAGTAAACTAAGTACGCTCAAGAACAACTCAACCTTCACACAAAAATGGCTCTAGAAAGCTATGAAAAAATGATGATATTTGAATGCAATGAAAGTATAGATGTTGTGAAGTGAATTGGTGAGAAAAAGCAGACCCAAACACCCCTTTTTATAGTGCCAAAATAGG